GCTGGATTCAACTTTATTTTGAAGTGCAGTTATGTTGTAATGTGAAAGAGAGAGGAAGTAGAAGATAGATTGGACTTTATTTTGTAAAAATCAGGATTTAACTGTGATTGTTTATCGTCTGATGAAGAACGTTATTTATTATTTACATATTATTTCTAGTTAGCCGAGCTAATATCTAATCTGATATTAGGTTCGGCTTTTAAGTGCCACCGAAAAGAGAAAAAGAGTGTGAGACTGGGCTCGCTCATCAGCAGCTGCAGCTCGGAGAGAAGAAGAGCGACTGGTTGATGATCTGTTTCTGTGATACACAAACACCGTCAGTTAACTGAGGTGACGATTAGCAAATTTCACCTTGTCAGAGTGAGAACAGAGCGAGGTGAATGTTTGTGTGAGACGAGGACGCGATAAGCAACAAGTTCGTACTTTCCTCCATCGTCTACAACTTCAGAAGGCCGGAGGAAGTCAGTGACGTGTTGCACACGGCTATACATCAAAACACCAAGGCAGTCAGAGTTAATTGTCGGTGCCTGACGAGGTGATGAGTAGAGTTTTCTATGTCATGGTCAAAACATACGGAACTCACTTCCTTCACCGGCCTGGATTTAAAGCCTGGATTTAAAATAAGGCAGCAGCTAAAACAATCAACCAACGCAGGAGCTGCACAGGAGCTTCATCTGCCGCTGATTTATCTCTTTAACAACCTCTCCTGGTGCTTCCGCTGCTAAAGGTGAGACGCACGGCCAGTGTCTGTGACAGAGATGGACTAGGCGCGGTGGCAGAGAGAGAGAGCGATGATGCGGTTTTAAAAAATGCATCACCATTAAATCAAAGAGTAACCTTGAACGGGTTCAGGCCGGTGCCAGCCCGGTGACACGCTCTGCCCTCGGTGCCACGGAGCATGCCAAACAGCAGGGAGGGAGCTCTGCAGCGCTCCCAGTGCAGGTTAGCATCGGGTAACGCTCCGGCTCCTCGCACGACCAAGGGCGCTCCCGCCGACATTTTGTCCAAGTCACAGCTCAACATGTAACAGGACAGAACACGTGGAGGCAGAGGAGCCGAGACGTCCTTGGGAAAGTTGACACACACAATAAAAAATGATCCTGCCGACCACTTTGATTTAGTGCAAATCAAATAAACAAGCGAACAGATGGTTCAGGGAAAAGGAAACTGGATTGTTTCTATAAGTGAGATTACACAAAAACTACTGAACGGATTTCCAGCGAACTTGGTTGAAGGATGTTTTATCAGCCAGGAAAGACTTCATTCTGTTTCGGTGCAGATCCAGGAAGTTAGACTTTTGACATTTTCACCATTTTCCCAGGAAGTGAATCACGGATCACGATGGGAAAAACCTGAGAGGCACATTCAGGATGTTTGATTGTGTGGAATGTGAAGCAGGCGTGTTGGGCCCTGGTTAGATATTCTCTCTCCTGTCTCTCTCAGTATCGTTGCTCACCTGAGTCGTTGTTGTACTTTATCGTTTTCCCGCATCATGGCTGCGGCCACATGGTGGATCGTGATAGTGGATTATGATCTTGCGCTATTTTGAAAATAGAAATGTATTTTTGCACATTATCTGTGTAGCATCATCTCATATTACATTATTCTTATCTTAACATCACACAAATACAGTTTTGTATTCTCATGCAATCGTCCTGTACCACTGCACTGAAATACTTTACACTATGTGTCTGTGTGAAAGGTGTATATTACACATTCTGTGTTAATTCTGTTTAATTTGTTTTATTTTTATTCTCTTGTCCAACTCATTCAGGCTGTTTTGGGATTGATAAAGTTTTATCTTATCTTACAACTTGATTGCTTAGATGTTCAATATAATCGAGACTTTTTCTTTAGTAACGCCGGAGGATGTCGCACCTTTCTCAACCCTACGAGGCGGATAGTAAATATGGGCTTTACAAATAAAATGTGATTGATTTATTGAGTCTAGTTCAGTGCAAGTGATCCTGTTACCTGACATTTGACTGAAACCTGCTCTGACCTTTTCTCTCTGTCGTCCTCGTAATTTTGATTTTATTTCAAGAGTTGGGGGGAAAAAGGAAAAGGTTTAGGGTCATGTGACACCTTCATAATGAGAAAACACATTAATGTGAATATGAGATTTCTTTTATTATTCCTTGTTTGGTGCAGTACAACCCCCAAAGCTATTACATGGGTTTTAGCACAGCAGATGAACAAAGCATTAGAGTATAGCCTGGAGGAGGAAAATATTAAGCCCCACTGGCCCTTCAGCTACAACGGCTGAACTTTACATATAACTTGTTCATTCAGATTACTAAATCAAGGAACTGCACTTATTTATGCGTTTTAATAAGGCAGTAAAGCCTCAGAGGAAATTCTTTATTGAGACGACTGGTGGAGAGGCTGCACAGCTGCTGAGACCCACATCTTCAGTAAATAATGTCTTCTGGGCTGTTATGGTATACGGCGTACATAAAACAGTTAGCGGTGCGTGCAGACCGGCCGAGGAAACCGTACGTTACGAATAAAAAAATACCGTGCAAGAAACATCTCCTTGGTTTGGATTTCTGGGCAGAAACTATCCGCGGTATATAACTTATTTTTAAATCTAACTTCCTCCACTTCTCCCACATTCTTTGAGACATGTCATCCATCTATCTCGGCCCGCGGCTGCACTAGTTCCTCGGCCGTGAGAGGCTGCTGCAGCGGGGCTGTATTTCAGCATGTTGAAGTGCATGGAGAATTCCCATGAAGGGTAAGGGATTATGGATTTTGGCCTCTAAGCTGCCTGGATGCCCAGCGAGGATGTCTCTGAGCGTAGTAATCTTCAAACACCACGCAGAGTGATGAGTGGGCACTGAGGAGTTCTACTCAGGATCTAAATGTGTTCCGGCAAGTTACTGGTGTGTGTGAGAGAGAGAGAGAGAGAAAGAGAGAAAGAGAGAGAGAGGGAGAGAGACCAAAAACGAGAAAGAGAGAAAACACCATTTGGTGCAAAAGAAAAAAAAAATGGAAAGGATCGACTCAGTGGCTCCTTCAGGCAAGAGACACTTCTGATCCTGTGACCTGTTTTGAGCTATAGTCTGTGTCGAAAACTCGCACCCAGCAAGGGATCATATTGGAGTGGTGCGAATGTAAATGTCATGGTTCCCCATCACCAAACATAACTGCAGATGGAAAAAGTCAATTGAGCAATTTTTGGGGTCAGGTCGGAGGGGTTGCAAAACCCTCGCGACGAGGGCGACGCTCAAGTCTGGTTTAGACTGCGTCCCAGAAAATGGTTCTCGATGCGTTAGGTATTCTGGTGAGATGACGATCGTGGAGTATTAAAGAAGCATAGGCTCCTATGTAGAAAGAAAATCTCATGAATGGAACGAGCTGGAAATGTCAGAGGAAATCAATGGTGACACGGATCTATGGTCGATATCAGAGAGGAATTCAGGAGTCCGTCCTGATTGAATTAAATCCCCGACAGCATCACTTAAATTAAGGCTCTGATTGTTCTCTTTTCTTATTTAAGTGAATTTAACTTGATGCCATCACGGAGCTGAAGATAAGGAGGGTCAGAGCAGGGGGAGGATCAGATGGGGGTGAAGGACACCAGCATTTATGGAGATCATATCCTCCTTTAAGAGAGACGCGTCTGTCTATCTGCTCCCATCAGAGGCCCTGGAATGATGTCAGGGGTCAGGGTTTGGAAGGACGCCGAGAGGCGCTGGAGAACTACCTCAGGGGAAATCAGAAGGTATTACGATAATAAAGATGCAAAATAACCCAACAAGCAACAACAAGCTCGCTCCCACATCGAGTCAAGGATGAAAACCGAAACTGACCTCAGGGTGTTCAAGGATCAAAAGGTTCAACGTTCTCTTGATGCTAATCAAATGGAGATCTACGTTTAAAAAAAAACCCGCTCCTCAGATATAAATCCATAATCTCAGTGCAGCTCAGTGGGTTTGTGCAGCGAAGCTGCCTGAGCTGTGTGAGACTCTCCCAGATACTGTCCAGGGCAACAAGCAGGTTCATCAATTTGGTGCATGACAAGAAATTCCCTTAAGGTGACAACAAAATGTACATGCCATTAGATCAGCTGCAGCATGTGATGAAATAAACTGGAGCCAGCAGACGAAAGCTCGGGGCCCCAAACAGCAGAGGAGACGATTAGAGACGGCCCCGTCCTTTATGTTACACTGCCCTCGTTTGGACAAACACAGAACTGATGGTGAATGTTTCATGAGTGGGTACATAGGGATACTTGAATTATTGTTTTAGACTAAGATGTTGTATTTGTGTTTTCCTCTTTCCTCATCAGACCGATTATTAGAATTAAACCTCAGGAGTGATGGTTAAAGATGTAACGATGTTACTAATGATAGTGGCAGCATTTAATGCAGATACAAATAATAATAACAATGCACATTGCTAATCACAGTCATTATAATTATAATGACAATAAGAGAGCAAACCTCCGCATCAAATTTCACGATAGATATCAGTTCCATAAATTTGTTTTTGTGTATAAACAAACGGACAGGGGCGAAAGCATAACCTCCTTGTCTGATACAATGATAATAATAAAATTGATGATAATAATAATAATAATAATTACAAACAATTCGAGGACCTTAAAACGGAAACGATGAGCTGAAAGACACAGGAGCATTTGAGAGCTGAGGGGAGTCGAGCAATAAATCACTGATATCTTCATTCCGAGTTTCACTGCTGTTATTTGATCGAAAGGTAATTAAAACATTTTGCTGAGGGGAAACTTTTAGCCTCTGGGTCCATAACGCTTCATCCAGTCCAGACTATAGATTATATAGATCATTATAGAGTCCACAACGATAATAACAATAATAACAATAATAATAATGATAGCATCATATTATTGGCCACTCCTCCATTATTATCCTTCAAGGCACATTGCACGAGCACCACACTCGTGCACGAGACAAAGCTTTGAACGTGATGCGCGCGGCAGATCCGGCCAATTAGCTGCGGAGGACAGTGACGTCAGCGGGCGGATGATGCAGCGGAGTTGAATATGCAGCTGTGTGTGCGTGTGTGTGTGTGTGTGTGCGTGTGTGCGCGTGTGTGGCCTGTCATCCAGACGCAGCCTCGTGCAGCGATGAGCGCAGAATAACGAGATGTTTCCTGCTTTGACATCATCACTCTGAGGTATTTGTGTTTTTATTCACACGGGATCTTCTCCTGTACTCTGATATACCCACGTATTACTGTGAGTATTACTGCGAGTATTACTGTGAGTATTACTGTGTGAGTATCACTGTGTGAGTATCGCTGTGGTTTCATGTCAGAGGAGAAGGACGATGCAGGAAACGCTGTTTCCGCTCAGTGACTCAGGCTTTGTTTCTGTTCTGCTGCTGTTTGATTCACTCACGTTCACAAACGTTTACATTTGAATTCAGAATCGTTGAATCGTTGAATCATTGAATCGTTGAATCAGAGTCGCTGTGTCCTCGTGTATCGTGTCTCGCTCCACATCACCGATGAGGATATTTCACTGCGTCGTGACGCGCGAGTTCCGAGTAGAATCCAGTGATTCACGATCAATGTGATGGTTTGTTGATGGACAGCAGCTGATGCACATCTGGAAAACAGCTGCTGGTGGTTTCTGTGTTTGGATGATTATTCTATTCTAATTATTTCTCTATGAGCAAAAACACACGGAATGAACAAACCTCAGTTCGTCCAGATTAACATCAGGGATAAGATCAGTGATCCTGAATATAAATGTAAATACAGATATTTTTCAGTCCAGTTCATTTACTTTTTTGTGTGTGAAGAGATTAAATAAATAAAAGCAACTTGTGTTTCCTAATATGACTGTAACTGGTAATCAAGCCTGTTTTAGATGATCTCTATGAAATTTGCTCTCATTAGTTTTA